TTAATGTTTATAATGAAATGAAGAACTGTCCAGTGATGTTGTTCTCTGTAGCATCACTGTGCAGCTTCTTAAAGGATGAAAACAATCAGATGTTGTGTGACTAAAACTATTTTGCAGAGTTTTCAAAAGAGGCATCGTGTATCATCAAAGGTAAAAATTCATTTTAAATTTCTGAACCTGTACTTTTTTTACTTCTACTTGAGTAAAGGAGTTGAATCAGTGCTTTTACCAGAGTCTGTTTTTACCCAAGTATCTTTACTTCTACTTACATAAGAGCGTGAGTACTTTTGCCATCTCTGATAATAGCACGTTATCATTTTACCTTCATCTTACACCCTACCATAACATTCTGTGTTGTCTTTTTGTCTTGTTTAGCCTCTTTGTTAAACAGTCCTGCTGCTGTAACACCTGAATGTCTCTCTGGGATTAATAAAGTCAGTCTGATGCTGAAACTGAAGAGCATCACACCTTCTATGACCACCATGGCTTCTGTCTCGCTACAGTGAGACGTCTGCACCTAAATGCAAATGTTGAAACACTCACCGTTCATATTGGACACAGGATTTCTTGTTGCTGTTGGTGAAACAGGTGCACAGATGACTTTCCTTCAGCCTGGATGATCAGCTGGGGGACGTTTCTCTCATGAAAACTCAACAAAATGAACAGTAAAGCTGGAATAAAGTGTAAAATGTTTCATCCTCATCATGGCTTTAAACCTTTTAGCAAGTTGGACGTCCGGCCAAACCCCAATCAGCGACGACCCAGCAGGTGCTTTTGCTTCACCAGCTGCTGCAAATTACAGACGGTGACATCTCTGATTAAGATATGTGAAGCCCAGGCGACCAGCAGCAGCTTCCAGCTGTGTGTGGTTCTGCACTGATTGAGCTTCCAAAAAAAAACTGGATTCAACTGCATGTTTGACATTTTACGTCACGTGGCGATTTGATAACGTGACTCATCGTCATGTACAGCGCTGTAAAATAAACTCTACCTATGAGCTTCTGTTGGTGTGTTTTCTGCACATCTTGCGTGTTTTAATGATGCTGCATGAGAACGTTCTTTCCAGGTGTTCAGCGCATCTGCTCAGCCAACAAATTAGATAAGGTGTCTGGTGTTTAAGGGAACACACCACGAGTGCTTCGTGCACATATGCACGGCGGAGTGATACCATCTGTGGAGCCGTTAATATGACACATCATGAATATTCACACGCCCACTTCTGCTCCTGCAGCCTTCACAAAATACACTCATTTACATAATCCCCATACTGCTGTTTATGAGATGAGTAACACACACGCCGTCATACTTTTGTGCAGGTTTTAGAGTAAACGTTATGTAATTTAGTAGCATGTAAATAAGTCGCTTCATATGTCCACAAACGCATCACAGTGTTTAAATTGTCCTCATATCAC